CCCGCAGCCCCCATCACTCCTCCTTCAGCCCTGAACCTGGCGCCTGATTGCTACCCTGCGCGCGCCTTTTTGCGCGCCTCTTGCTGGCCGCCTCGCCTGCGCTAGGTTGGGCAAGGGGGAGAAGTGGGCGCAGCCCCGCCACTGGGCGCGCAGGGACGACCCTCCCGGCCACCGCCGTAGCCCGTGGCTGAGTCTCTTTCCCTCGCGGGTCAAGAAAGTGCAGCCTGGCTCCATTCAACCTGTTGGGCGTTTTGCCCTTCCTGGAGATCTGGATTTCAACCCCGAGAAAGCGTAATCCAGGTTCGCTGAACTCAATGCGCCTGTTTTATTTTTTGGACCATTGACTTCTGTGCGATGTGGATGGAGCCCTAGACAAAAATGACGCCCTAATAGTTAAAAAATAAGGCAAAAGGAACTCTTCCTTTTCCTCTTTCCCTACAAGTGCTCTTTTATAGGCAAGGACTTGTTTTAAAGTGTACAGTGATACATAGTAATTTATTTTTAAATCTGTAGTTGGATCGTTTGGACCAAAAACCAGAAAATGTGCCTTTTCTTTTCCCATCCAAAAAAGTGACTTTAACATGACCTGAAACATTGATTTTTTTTCATTATATATGAAAAGGGAAAACTGTATTAATCTTATTTTATCGTTTATCATTTTTCCTTTTTGTTGTTGAAGATATCCTGAAGTTATTGACTTGTTTGTTTATTAATAAATTACCATTCAATTGGACTGAGACCATAGATGTCTGGATATATTAATCCCTTTTTCCAAACAAAAACATTAAAAATTCTATAGCTAAAAATGTAGTTGGTAGAATTACTTGTCTCCATGTAGACAAACAAACAAACAAAAAAACACAATTTAGAACAAATTCTTGGGCACCTCCTTCTACAAATTAGTTGAGGAAAAAAAACAATGTAATTTGAATTGGTGTCCTCAAATCGTGGATATTTGCAAGCCAACCCCCTGATTTCAGGCAAATTTATTTCTAAGTGTGGCCTTGAATGAGCCAAAAATTGACTTAAAACCAATCAGATTCAGCTGGCTTATCGATGGAGATGTTACCATTATTGTTGTTTCTGCTATAAGTCTTTACAGTATTATGTATATATTATATCTAATGTCTAGGAGAAAAATAAGGGGAAGGTCTAATCTATTACCATAAATCACCACTGTTTGCCCCATGAAAGTAGAGAATCTGGGTTCTCTGGGTAGACAAATGTTGCTTGAAAATATTTCACTAGAGGTTCTGTGTGTTATGTCAAATCCAAGGTGGTGGGGTTTTACAGATTTTAGGAAAAAGCAGTAGACTCTGATTTCTAGGTACAAATTAGTACATATAAGCCCCTGTTGTATTTGGAGAAATGTAAACAACTCAGTTCAATGGGCCTGAAGGCACAAGTAAGTCCCACTATTCCCAGTTGGGCTTACTTGGACTGCAGCTTACATTTTCAAAATAAAGACTGTTGTATTTGGAGAAATGTAAACAACTCAGTTCAATGGGCCTGAAGGCACAAGTACGTCCCACTATTCCCAGTTGGGCTTACTTGGACTGCCGCTTACATTTTCAAAATAAAGACTGATAGGCTTTATGTAAAATAAAAAAAAATAGAACAGAATCCTTAAATGTAAGCCTCCAAATAACCTCTGCTTTTCTATAGAAAATACTACCAGTGATTTTGGTGATTTTGCTTTCGTAGCTTGACAGCAAAAGAGTGTATTCAGTGAAGTAAATAGGGGCCCTTACTCAACATTTCCGGTTCTCCCCACCACTAACACTTTCCTCTTTTTCCATTCAAGACAAATGGTTCACTGTTGAAGAATTTCACAATTTGGTTCTGTCCCTGCCCCACCCCCACCCCCCAGTTTCCAAGGAGGTAGCCTTAACAGGGCCAGCGGCAACAAATTGTTTAGTGGAAGCTTAAAAACTGGCAAATGTTGGGTGGCATAAACATCTCTGCTCCAGAGAAGTAGTTAAGATGCCCATAGGCAGTGTTGCCTTTCCCCTCAACCACCCACCCAAGATTTTGAAAGAAAATGTTCCTATTCCCCCCCCCCTTACCACCACCACTCTTGACTTTTACCTGAATTCTCTCCCACCTGTCCCCGTCATTTTTCTCTTGTGTCTATTTTCTTTTATCAGAGAAAACATGTTTTGGGGATGGCTGTGCAGAAGCCCAGGGTGACAGCTTGTCAAATGAAGAAATTCGCCTTCAGGTCAATTCTCAGTGAGGTTTGCGGAACACCAGGGGGAATCACCTCTCCCCTCCCACCCCACCCCAATTCTGTGCTTAACTGAGAAAATGCAAGCCACCTTTTTATCTGTGAGGGATCAGTTCTGCTGTCAGAGGCAAGGCGAGGCAGGCTGGATTGTTAGCTTTTTCATCAGCCTCCGGTGTACATTTTCAAGACACGGGCGGCCTCCTATCAGGCTCTCTTATCTGAAGCAATCCTTGGCAGTAATTATGCCCAGATTGTTGAAAGGCCACAAACAGTAAATAAATTCAGATTAATTCCATTAAAAGGTGGTGGGCAGCATTTTCACTTCAGTTGTCTCTCCAGAATGCGGAGAATGGGCTAGGAAACATTATTATGGCTGGCACTTGGTTTTGATTGCTTGCATTTAGATTTTATTTTAGTTAGGAACTAATCTCATGCAATCACGCTGTTGTGATTGTACTTTTTAAAATAACTGTGCGGTCTGGGTTTTTTTCTAAAGTGTTTTGAACCATTAAGTGTTGAATGGACAGTGCAATGCAGTCCTTCTTATGTTTACTCTGAAGTGACTCCTAATACGTTATGACTCCAATCCTATGTATGTTTATCTGGAAGTGTCACTTAATACAGTAGTGCCTACTTCTGAGTAACAGTGGATAGGATTGAGTTATGTGGGCTCCCCTCCCCCCAAAAAAGAGGATTATGTGCAAATTAAGAATGTAGCTTTTGGGATTCAATCTGATAATCTTTTCCTGTCAATAATCTGTTCACAGTTTTTGAAATACTGCCAATGACATTTTTACTTGTTAAGTGCAGTCAACAGACCTTGAATTGCAATGTAAATTAACAGTGAGGTCCACAGTTTAGTTAGCCTAAACTTTATAGATACCAACAGATTGAGTAGCAGAGAAATTGTGCTAACAGGCCTAACTGCAACATAATACCAGCTCAAGCGCCAAAGGCTTCGATTTAACTTGATTGTGAGGCCACTTGTGATTTGTTTTGAACGAACTGATCCAGCATATTGTTTCAAACTGAATGGGGTTTATTTGTGAGTAAATATTGTTAGAACTGCAATGTACGGGTTCCGATCTGACATGCTGCTATCCAGACAAGATCTGGACAGAGTTCTTAGCACCTAGGCTTGTTGCTAAAATTATTATTACATGATCAGGATTGTCCTTATTTCAGCTGAATTGTGTCTGTAAATTAGAGAAAGGCTTTTTCAGGTCTCTTTTGAACCACACATAACCTTTGGCACATCTCGTGCTTAATATGATTAATTGAGACTACCTGCTAGCCACAATCTTGAAAGCAAAGCAAACGTTTAGAAGTCTCACTGGCTTCAGTGAGAGAGAATTAAGCAGGTTTGTGCTTAATTGAGCACATGAAATCAGCAGCGGGGGATTTCACTATTTTAATTTTGTTAGGTCTGCATCCCTTCTGCTTCACACCTATAGAAGAGATCAGGGAGCAGCAGCCTGAAACAATAGGGGGGACAGAGGCCTGGTTTCCTTAGCCAAGTTGATAGGGGAAATGGCTTCAGAAATCTCAGAAGTGGTCTGCTTCTCTTCAGGGTTTGTGTAGTAGCAGTCCGCTCACTCCCTTGGCTTCGATGGGGTGGGGAGGGCGTTACTGATGCCAACAAACTCATTAAAGGGAAGCAGGGCAACAATCCCATTTAATTCAATGATGCTTACTTGTGAGTAGATAAAGTGACAGATCATCTCTGAATTTCGGGTAGGGGGGGCACTCCATGTCCGGTCAGGAGCTGCTTATGGTAGAAGGATAAGCTGCGAAGTGCTGCGCACGTATGCCCGGATGGTCTTTTCCGTCATTTCTTTCCGTGATTCTCCCCGCCATTTCCTTCGTGAGAAAAGTCCGAGGAAAGGAAAGGAGGGGGC